AATGCAGAATAGAATATAACAAATTCTTTAGCTCAGCTAACGAGGTAAAAAGGGAACTCCAACTTACCACTGTATGGTAGCTCTTCACTAATCGCTTCATCTACGAGCAGTGACGTTTCATAAGTCCTGCAAACGTGGAAAAAGGTGATCTTAGTCCAGAGAAAGGGACATGGTAAATGCAGGGACACATCCCACAGCAGCTGCTCTCCCAGTGCTCTTCACCAAGCAGAGAAGAGACTCACCAGCACCGTGCCACGTTCCGGACTGTGTAACCACCTCCTCCCAGGACCAGCAGGGGGATGTTGAAGCTCTTCACGTACTCCACACACTCCCTACAACCCCCAAAACCCAGAATGTCAGAGCTGGGAACTGCAGCACAGATTCCTGGGGCAGAAATGCCCCCGTGCAATCAAACACCACCACGGCTGGTGAGACCCACCCGAGCTCAGGGCTTCCACCCAGGGGGCCTGAACCACAGAATCATCATCACAATGGTTTGGGTGGGAAGGGACCTTAAAGCCCATCTCGTTGCACCCCCCTGCCATGGGCAGGGACACCTTCCACTAGCCCAGGTTGCTCCAAGTATCAGCCAATCTGGCCTTGGACACTTCCAGGGATCCAGGGGCAGCCACAGCTTCTCTGGGCAACCTGTGCCAGGGCATCCCCACCCTCCCAGGGAAGAATTTCTTCCCAATATCCCATCTAACTCTGCCCTCTGTCAGTGGGAAGCCATTCCCCCTTGTCCTGTCCCTCCATGTCACTCTCCATCTCTCTTGGAGCCCCTTTAGGCCCTGGAAGGGGCTCTCAGCTCTCCCTGGAGCCTTCTCTTCTCCAGGTGAACCCCCCCAGCTCTCCCAGCCTGGCTCCAGAGCAGAAGGGCTCTGGCCCTTGGAGCATCTCCATGTGCTGCCCTGAACCATTTGTACAAAGTCTCATTCTCAGACCTACTCCTGTCACACAAACATTAAACCCTCCCAAAAAATCTGCTGGAAGGCCAAAGCCCAAACCTCACAGCAGAGACTCACTAGAGCCCTTCAGATGGTCTTTCTCTGCCCAGCCCCCTGCACTTACCCATGGCCTCTGATACTGAGGTTAAAACAGCCCAAACGGTCACAACCCAGAGAATCAGCACCACACTGGGGAACAGAAAAACAAGAGAATTTTGGCACTGCTTTCCAGATACACACCAAGCCTGCTACCCCAGGAACAGCAGGGAACACTGGGATAGCCCTCTCCAACCTACAGGCTCCAAAAGGGATGGCTGTGTGCAGAGCTTGGCCTCCTTACCTGCAGTACTATGCAGGTGGGCTGGTAGTAATCTACCACCTGGTTAATGACTGGCTGGAAGAGGTGTTTGTAACCTTTGGAGAGAAAGGTAGATCTGTCATGGCTTTGGAACAGAGGACCAGGAAACACCTGGGCAGGGGGAAAGGGCAGGAACACCTACTCTGGTCATCGATGCCGTCCCGCAGGGGCACGTTCAGACAGTAGTAACGGCCACTCTCTGCACCCACCTCATACATGTCACCTGCAAAACAGGGCACTCACAACAGCTCTGACACTTCACAGGGGTGGAAAGGCCAGATCAGGCCTGGGCTGAGTCTCTTAACTTAGTTAGGACCCCTCCTTCTTACAAATAACTACAGTTCTGTCCCTCTCTAATCGATTCCTCCCACCGTTTCTCCCTGTGGCTCTAATTTTGTGATTTACCCTCTTCTACTCCAGCAAAGCTTCCAAAGGATTCTGAAGCGAGCCCACACTAAAAAGGAAAACACATACCTGTCCCAGGAAAGAAATAGTTGCCATATTTGTGAAATGACACTGTCATGACACGGTCTGTCAAGTAAAAAGCCTCCTGCACCCCGTCCCCGTGATGGATATCGATGTCGATGTACAGCACACGTGGGTGATACCTATGGAACACAGGAGGAAAAACAGCACCCACCTGAGCATATCATGCTTTGCATAGGAGGCATTTGTCTGCAGTCAAAACACACTAAATCATTTCCTTCTGATGTGCTTGGTAATCGATATTTGAAACGTTTCCTTCTGATGTGCTTGGAAATAGATATTAAAAAAAAAAGGGGTTTCAGATGGGGCCTTGGAAAGCACATGATGAAAATAACTTGTTTTAACCACCTGGGGGGTTTAAAAAGTTGCAGGTTTTTGTTTCCAACATGCCCTTGGTTAATCTTTGAGAGCTGCAATGATTTTAATCATACCAGGAGATGAAAGGCAAGGAGGAGGTGGGAACACTCATTTCCTCCACATGCCAGAGTACTGGAGCACTCTGTCCCAGCTGGTGAGCACCAAAAATTCCAGGCTGGATTAAATATGCTGTAGAAGCAGCCAGAGACACAGAAAGAGGGTGAAGAAGGGGAGTTCATCACCAGTAAATGCTCCAGGGTAATGGTCAAACTGCTGCTGTGGAGCACTGAGACACAGCCCTGAGCCAGCCCCAGCTCCAGAGCTGCCTGCTCAGCTGGAGAGAACTTCTCCAGCTTTTCCCAAGGAAATGCTGCACCTGGTCAACCCCCAAAAAACAGGGGATCCATGCCAAAACCCTCAGGGAGTGTGGAGGGCCCTGGAAAAACAAGACAACACCAAGAGAGAGAAGGAGTGTGTGGTTTGTGCCTTGGAACCAGGGCTTTAAAGTGCCTGCAGGGATCTGAGCAAACTGGCTGATGGTCTTCCAAGACAGACACAAACTACTTAAATTTCCAAGATTATTCATCCCACAGACAAATGGCAGCAAGGAGAGAATGGGGATGCATGGACACAGCCCTTCCACACTGGGAAAGGGAGAAAGGGACCTTTCTGTACTCTCATGGTGGGAAGCAAACCCAAAATACAGTCCCCTGCTGCAGAAATGGTTCCTGGAAACAGGGAAGAAAAGGATAGGGACATATTATCATCTCCCATGAGGAGGAACTGGGCTGTATTTGAGGCCTCTGGTGTACGGGACTCGTGTGAGACTAGAAAATGGGTGTGCAGAGATACACAGGGAAATCCTGAGGTTCCAAATGTGGGGCAGGGATGACAGGCAGAGAGGAAGGAGGTACAAGAAATCCAGTACATCCCATAAATCTGACTTTGAGAGCAAGTAAACTTGCCACCAGCCATGTAACTGTTGTCTGGTCAACTCCAAATCCTTTACAGTTCCAAAACAATTTGTCTCAGATTCAGCGACAATTGAGAGTACAAAAAAAACCCCCAAACCACAAGAAACTAAACCAGATTAATTTAAGAAATTGAAGGTATTTCTGTAACTCTTCCTCCCATTCTGAATTTAATTTTCATTTTTTGAAAACCAAAATAACTTGACTCTTTTCTACTGAGAGCAAGTGTCCTTTGATCATCCCTGTGTAGCTCAAGTCCTGTTCTCCACCCAATCAAGCAAGTCAAGAAAGGTTTGAGTGTTTCTCTGTCTCCAGTGAGCCATAACATGCATTTCCCTACAAAAGGCTCACTGTGGCAAAAAGGCTGAGGCTCAGGAGACTCTGAAATGAGTCTTTTACAGCTGGATGAGAAATGGGGTGGAAGAACTCCTCTGTGTCCCCAAAGCTTCATGCAACAACACTGAGGCAGATACTCCAATTCTCCAACACTTCCTTGTGTCTAATGAAACCAGGGGGGGAAAAGAATAATAATAATCAAGTTTTGGGGCTTCCTGGATGCCAGAAAGTCAAATGAGGTGTAGAAGCAGAGAGAGAACAGTGAAGCAGCAGAGGAAAAGCACAACCAGGCAGGACAGGTCAGTCCTTGCCCGTGTCCTTACTTGAGCAGCTCCAGGATGCCGATAACGATGTCATTAACATAACAAAAACCAGAAGCCTGCGAGAGAGAGAGA